ATTGTTCTAAGCAGCTGTTCTTCCTGGTATTCCAAGACTGAGGTTGACTAATGATCAGAGAAAATAAAGTGACACAGTGCCAAAGAACCAGGGGTGGGCCAGGCAGGGCAGTAGCTTCCCATCCCCAGCAAAATGAAGGGGTAGAGCCTTGCAACCAATGAAGACACGGACAGAAAACCAGCTACACCTGGAAGACATGGACAGATTCCTAGCTACATACAAATTACCAAACCTGAATCAAGAAGACATAAAAATCATAAACCAATATCAATTAATGAAATCAAAGATATAAATAAAAACCTACCAACACGGCTGGGGATAAAGCTCAGTGGCAAGTGCAAGGGCCTGAGCTTGATCCCAATACAAAATTTAAAAAAAATTTTAAAATCTACCAACGAAGTCCAGACCCCTACAGATTCACTAGGCGTGGTGACAGGGGCCCATAATCCCAGCACTCTGGAGGCTGAGGCAGGAAGATCACCATAAGTTTGAAAGCAGCCTGGGCCACATAATGAATTCAAGGCCAGCACAAACTACATAGAGAGACCGTGTCTCAGAAAGCAAAAACAAAGGATATGATTGTGAAAGGGCCCTCCATGGGACAAGAAGGTGAAGATCTTGCTCCCACTCAAGTGAACCAGGAAGAGAAATAATCTCTATAAGTCATTTAGGAAGAAGAGGGGACAGATGGGACCTATGAGACAACATAGGTCCACCTGGAAAAACCTCCTAACACAAGCCGGGACTCTGACTACACACCCCCACCACAGCAGGTCCCCTTCTGCTGGGCTGCAGGCAGGGCCGTCGGCACGCGGTCTGTCTTTGCAGAGCGCTACCATACCAAGCTCAAGGTCTTCTGCTGCTCGCTGCAGGCTCTGCTTGCTAAGTGGCTATCGTGAGCCCATCTCCTTGGACTCAGCGTGTTGCCACAGTCCACTTTGTTTTACCAGGGAAGCCTCACCAAGGAAGAGCTGTTCCGCATCTTCTGAATGACTCCTCACTGCGAAATGTTAGAATTGCGCCTATTTCATACAATTAGCTGGGACGACTGAACATTCAACCGCACTCATTCCGCCACCTCAGCCAGCAGACACTGATTTTCAAAACAACAGTCTTTCACTTCTTCTTTAGAATGTCCCCCACTTGTGACATAGCCACCCCACTACCGCCCGCTAACCACTGGGTGCAGTGTCACTATTTATGTTGGCAATAATGTCACTCAGGTCCAGCTACAAAAGAGCCAGGGAAGTACGTTTGGCATCTAGCTCTTCCATTCCAGGAGGAAAGCAACTTCAGTTAGGGATGCCTCAAGCTAGAACTCTCTCCTTCCAAAGGCCGTCTTGAAGAGAAAATGAATGTCACAGTTTGTTGGCTGGAACGTTCGGACACAGGCATTTATAAAGGGTTCCGACGGGAACCACCATGAATAGTAAGCCCATAACACCTAGACAGCACTGGCACAGCGTGGCGGCGGCAGCGTTTTCATGTTTGGGATCAGTGTGGAAATCCACGGGGCACTGAAGAATCTCTTGTTGGAAACAGTAAGAGACACAAGAGATTAACTTTGAATTGTGTACCCTACATCAATGTTAATTGGGCTCCTCTCTCTACAAATGAACATAAGAAGTGGCTGTTAATCTAATTCTCAGGTTTTAGTACCTTTGAGATTAGCCTTTTCAGCCATGGAGAAATTTCACGCTCTAAAAAGGGGGTAGAATCTTATACATTGCTACTAAGAGAACATTTGGAATACCTTTTCCATTTGAGGACGCAGACATGGGTGTGACACCTAAATGTTATCTACAGTCAACATTTCTCTAATGACTTTGTGAAACCAAGCACCTTGCTATGTGTATGGTAGCAAGTAAATGTATTTTCCTGTAAATTTATGGATTTAATTTCCTGTGGTGACCCTTTTATAGCCTTCGCCTGTCTTCCCTAATCACACGAGTGTAGGTCTACGTTGGCCCCGGTGCCGTGCTCCCTCTCTGCTGGGCTGTGCACCACAGCATCTGTGTGCATCGGATCATTTTGCTTCACTCTGTGGACAGTGTTTCCAGCTGAACAGAAGTTGAAGGTTTTCTAAGTTCTCCCACGTAGCAATCCTCCTCCCAAGGGCTTGTAGATGTAACACACGCTTCTAACATCTTTCTTTGTCCTATTCTTTTGCCTAAGGCATTATAGAGTTTGCTTCCTTTCATAATATTCTGGTAACTTCTTAAGTTTTTAGGTACCAAAATTAAGATGATCATACCACACTGTTTTCGTACTTGCAGAGATGAGAGTTGCTGAAGGCCATTCTCCCCTTGCTTATTTGGGTCATTTTCTCACTGGACATTTCACGTGGGCTCCAAATCTCTCTCCTCCTCCCAATGCACCTGCCCCGATCCCTGAGCACCATTGTGTAGACTATCGCAGCCACATTAACCACTTTTCCTTCCCTAGCTTTTCCCACTTTTTTTTTTTTAATTTTGATTTTGGAAAATCCACGTTTGCAGCACATAATGGCCACACTCAGGGCGGGAATCAGTGCGCGGACGTAACACATCCTCATTCTTTTCTTCCCTGTCCTCTCCAGCTGGTTTTATCTCAGTAACAGATTCATTCCTTTTATAAGTTCTTATCAAGTTGATTTTCATAAGTGTAGATTAAAAACCAGACTAATAGGTAAAAGATCGTATAAAACAAATAACACAATTATACTAAATCAAGTTACACTTTTAGATGCATTAGCCATGCTGGATTACAATATCTTTTTTCTCTTTTCCCCTCATTTTTCTGTCTCTTATTTAGTTTTTTCCACTGTAGTCCAGTCTCTAAACTCCTCTCATAAGAAAATCTGATGACGCTGAGGCCTTGCATAACTCTATATGACTTTAGTAAGATGCGACACCCACGGCACACGTTTCACTCATTCCAAACATCCAATTAAATATTATACTATATCCATGGAGTTCCGCAGACATCACCAGCATCGATTTTTAAACATACCAACCTAGAAAGAAACCTCATACTCTAGATGGCACCTTGTCACCTCTGCTCCCCTGTCCCTTATTCACCCACCAGAGCTCTCTGTTCATTCTATATCCATCATTTCTGGACTTGTACTATGGGCGAGGTCATGGAACATGCGGTCAGCAGTGACTGTCATCTTTCACTTAGTGTGGTGGCTCCTGCGCTTATCCACACACAGCATATACCAACATCGTGTCCCTTTCCTAGAGGAGTCCTGTGCCATGCACGGATGTACCACAGCTCCTCAACTCACCAGCTCAAGGACATGTGGAGGTTTCTGTCTTTGTGTCTTATGTTTCCGGGAGTCTTGTGTAAAGTTTAAAATGAGTTTAATCCATTGCAGAAAATTCTACATGAATTTTTGTTGAAACAGTATTAACTTTATAGATAAACTTGGGAGACTGAATTTTTTACAAAATTAAGTATTTCTATAAGGAAAACTGTTAATTTTTTTCATTTATTCAGACCTTGTTTATTGCCTTCTGTGAAGTTTTACCAGATTGTTCATAAAGTTCTGAGGCTTCTCTTTCTCTACTGATTTCACATTTGTCAAATTGAATGGGATTTTATAATTAAAATTTCTATTTACTATATATAGAGGATAGAGAGACAGATAGACGAGTAGTACATGGAGAGAAAATGTAGATAGACACAGCTACCTGCTGCTACTACAGAATGCAAAACCAAAGAGATCATCCCAAGAAATAAACAGATACAAAGGAAAAATTCATACAATAAAAAATTCTGGGGCAGGGCTGGCCAGATAGCCCAGTGAATTAAAAAGCCTGATTAGGTAGACACAGGGACTAGGGTTTGATCCCCAGCCTGCCCTGCCAGCCCCAGCCCTGTGGCACACTGAGAAGGTGACTGAGACTGGGCGTGGTGGCACACACCTGTAATCGCAGCACTTGGGAGCCTGTAAACAGGAGGATCACTATGAGTCCGATCTATGCAGTGAGACCCTGTAGACCCTGTAGACCCTGTAGACCCTGTCCTAAATTTTAAAAAAAGAAAGAAATTGGCATGTTGAAGAGAAACCTCATATTTATTGTGACACTATTCCCAGTAGCAAAGATATGAAATAAAGTTAGATTCCTAGCAGTGGATGGATGGATAAAGAAAACACGGGGTATGTATAGAATGGGGTAGTACTCCGCCATAAAAAGAAAAATCCTGTCCCATGTGACAACACAGAACTGACCGGCATTACGTTAAGTGAAGCAAGCCAGGCACCGCACGATGAGCACTGAACGTTCGCACCTAAATGCAGAAGCTTTAAATAGCTAATTTCATGGAAGTGGAGAACAGAATGGTGGTTGGCAAGTCCGGGAAAGTTGAGGGGGTCAGAGGTGGATGGAAGGCAGTTAATAGGTCCGAGCTGAACTGGGATAATTTATAATGTTCTGTAGTGCAGTAGGGGGGCCCAAGGTTGAAAGCGACAAATTGTGTTCCAAAATAGCTAGCAGAGAGGAGTCTCAGCATAAGACAGTGGCTGAGCGGCGGGTAGACCAGTTGCCCTCCTCAGGTCCGCACACACCATACACGTGCAGTGAACTGCCCCTTGGGCCTGTAACTGTGTGCATTATTTACTATGTAGTGGTTCAAATATTTTAACTAACTCCTTTAAAGAACCTCAAGAACAAATAAAGAGCAAACTAGATGAGAGACGATAGGAAACAGGGAGAAAAGAACAGGGTTGTGCTGCGCGCACGCGCCAACTCCCCCCAGAGGCGCCATCGTTCTGTGTGACAAGCGCGTGCTAAGAAAAATAAATAGCAAAGTGGTTTTTTAAATAATAATAGTTTTAGAATAAGATGAACACATAGAACTAAAAAAGAAAAGATTTTCCTTAGGAGACACCACGGGGGAGTTCAGCAGCCCTGCACTATTTGTCACGGCGCTTCAGCTGCTGCCCAAACGTCTTGCTGCTGCACGCGCTCGGGACGTGGCTAACCGCACCCTCCGTGTCCCTCCCCCCCACCCAGGATCTCCACTGAACACTCGCCCAAGCTCCAGATCCGCAGTCACAGCTATCTGAGGGCTGTGAGCGAAGTCTCCATCAACCGGAGCCTGGACAGCCTGGACCCCGCGGGCCTGCTCACGTCGCCCAAGTTCCGCTCCAGGAATGAGAGCTACATGCGCGCCATGAGCACCATCAGTCAGGTGGGTGCAGGGAGCCACGCAGAGGTGGCACGGCTGAGAGGGGGGCAGCAGGGGGACCCGACAGGAGGCCCACGCCGGGGCCACCAATAGCTGGCTCCTGGGGTACCTGGTCCAGGAGGGAGGACCCCCCTGCAGGGAACCTGGCCCAGGAGGGTCTTCAGAACCCACCAGCACTCAGGCAGGGCCTTGCCAGGCCATCCTGAAGGGACTGGTGCCAAAACTGGGTCTGTAACATGGACTGAAGGACACACACAGACCAGATCCACCATCCAGGCCAAGGAAAGACTATTCATAAAAGCACTAGAGTTGCATGCAGACCCTCCAGACAGGGCTCGCCTGGGAAACAAAGGGCCCTCTGTGTCCCTTACCTGAGCCCGAGGGAATACAGCATCTGGTATTCCCAGATGGGGCGGGGACAAAGACTCCACCCCGGGTTCAGATGGCAGGCTGCAGGCATTCCGATGCAAGGTGGCAGAGAGGCCTGGGGAGGGTCCGGTGGTGAAGCCACACTTAGAATGCGTTGGGGCTGGGCTACCCCAGACAACAGAAGTGAAATGTTAAGGGGTCCTGAGCTCAGGACAGTGAACTTGGGGCCCTTGGAGGAGCTGATCCTGCAGCTTTCAGGCCCACCGGAAGACAGAAGGGAACTCCTTCAAGGAGAACATCAGGAAGGATATTTTTGCCAGGCATGGTGGCACACTCCTATAATCCCAGTGTTCTGGAGGCTGAGACAGAAGGATCACAAAATCAAGCCCAGCCTGGGAAAATTAGCAATTTACCAAGACCTTGCTTCAAAATAAAAAATAAAAATAAGCCTGGGAGTGTAGCACAGTATGAAGAGCCACAATCCCGACACTTCCACAGGGAAATATATTATTTTTAAAATGAAATGGTGTTAGAGGCTCTGGATTTAAATTTACATCACAAGTTTAAAAAGTAAGTATTATACCATTAAGTCAGTTAATATTTATTAGGAAAAACATTGGGCCAGATTTTTCAAGTAATGCCATTATGAGCATACATTACACCTGTCCCCTAAAGGTTTATAGTCCCATGGAGGGCTTATGAGACACATAAAAGTTGTGTCATAAACGTTACGTACTTGACCACCACAAAAACTCTTGGGATTAACCATCGGAGCCACCTGTGCCTAGGAGCGAACTTGGTCAGTCTGCCAATTGCTTTACATACACATGACATTAGTCCTATAAACGCCCATAATATAGATGCACAACCAGATATTAAATGGGACTTTCCTTGCAGCCACATAGTTGTAAATAAGATTCCCACAGTGAAGGGCAAGATGAGAATACCAAGGACTTTAAAGAGAAAGCTTCTAGAAATCAGATCTAGGAACACACATTTTGACAAATATTCCAAGGATTCTGGTAAAGTAGTTTTTAATTTGAACTTTGGAACAAGCCAGCCTAAAGCATAGCAAGGACTAAGAAAGAGCACTCCGGCTTGGCTGGAGCTCAGGAAACGGGAGGGGTCAGCCATGCGAGCCATCCTGAAGACCGTGCGGGGGACTAACCTGGACTTTAGTCACCAGGAAAAACATGCACAAAGACTAAAAAAATGCCAGCGTTTAAGCAGGAATACGTGCCATGTAAGTTGTCTTCCCATCACTTGGCTAAAATACCTCCACTGCGTCTTAGAAGAGAGGTGTGTTTGGGGTCAGGGGTTCAGCCCATGGCTGGCCAGTTCCAAGGTAGGACCATCAGGGTGGAGCCATCATGGCAGAAGGGCCTTGCAGAGCAATCTGTTCACTTCATGGCAGCCTTCCAGTTTTGCCACTAGTGACCCTCTTCTACTCACCTCCCACCAGCGCATTCCGCTGTGACCTCATCAGTGACCCACTCAGGACCATGTCTTCCCATGATCCTGGCACTCTCCAAAAACCCCATTAGCTTTGGGGCGACATTTCAGATCGAAGCCACAACAGCTGTCATCAGAACTCTGATGTAGGATAATTAATCTGGTAACAACACACAGGAAATATCGGAAAGGGTGGAAAGCAAGCGGCAGAGGCCAGTCGGAGGAAGAGTGTGTGAGTATCGAGGTGCAAGAGGAGGCGCCTGTGTGGGTGGAGGTGGTGGCATGGATGAGGTGGTGGAGAGGAGGCGCCTGCGTGGGTGGTGGTGGTGGTGGCTGCAGCTGGCTGTGGTCTGCTGGCATGGATGAGGTGGTAGAGAGAAGCTAAGCACCCCCCCGAAGCCTGCAGCAGTCAAGAGTGACCTTGAAATAGGACCATGGTTCACTTTTGTCCCTGCTATCGAAACAGCTCCCTTTTCTCATGCAGTCCTGAGGGTCATGCCCACACCCGCTCCAGGGACAGGCATCAGGGAAAGCAGGCCTGAGGGTCCCAGCAGCGAACCCCCCTTCCCATACTGGAAAGAGATCCCCCGCTGCGCTTGACGACCCACCCACACTGACGGCAGCAGTGCCCACCCGCCCACCTCAGCGAAACAGTTGAAGCCTCCGTTTGGCCACATTTAGACTTGCTTCATCGTCTTTTTACAAGAAAACTTCTCAAAGCGTATCTTTGTTCCGCACAGCCTAGAGGTCACGTCCTGGCTCACAACTGTGAAATGGTTTATAAATTCATCCACCATCCATGCAGTGGGTTTAAACTTTTCCTGGCAGCCCCCTGTGGCGGCACACACCTATCATCCCAGCACTGTGAAGGCACAGGCGGGAGAGTCGCTGCGACCTTCAGACCAGCCTGAGCCACACAGCAAGACCTTGTCTCAAAAAAAAAGATAAAAAATTTAGGGGAAAACATTTATACCCAATGTATGACTTTGAATACTCTTAAAACAAGGGATTTGTCTGTGCTGTCACTGCTGTGACACTGACCCGCACTGGCGCAGCATCCTTCCCGGGGGACACTCCGAGA